GACATTACCAGTGTACGGATCAAAATGATACTTATTCTAATCTAAATCTTGGTTTATTTTTTTGTATTTGCATTATAACTAAATTAAATACACTTACAGTTTAAAAGTAAAACTCCTGTTAAATAATCACAAGGCATGATTATGACAAGCATTTTTATATTGTAACCTGCCCATAACAATTATTTGAACAAATACAAAGATCAGTCAACAGACCACTCAGACTTATCAACACAAATATATATTTTTTAAAACATAAACAACAACAAAAATAGACATTTCAATAAATAGAATTGTGGTCATAAAATAAATACATTCAAAATGTTCAATGTTTCAAATAAAAAAACTGTAAAAATAAATTTGATAAATTGCAAATGAAAATAAAGCCTTTTCAAACTTTTGCATGGTAGAACCAGAAGCTGCTCTTCATATTAGTGACAAACAGTAACAGTAACAACAGCTTTTTGACAAGTTTAAAGTTTCTTTAAAATATGTTCAAAATGTTTTAAAATAAACAAAAAGTAATAATTTGATAAAGCGCAAATTAAAATATAGCTGTATCTGCAACTGTATTTGATAACGTTTTGAACTTTTAAAATCAATATTTTAAAAGCATAGTAGAACCAGAACCTTCATATTAGTGACAAACTTTGGCCGTTTTTGATGGGTTGCCTTCATTTTTGCCTTCTAATTATCATTTAAAATAAGTTTTCATTCTCAGCAGGTTTCTAAGGTTCTACCGCTACTAGTGGTGAGAAAGTGTATTGCACCTTTTTCAAAATCTATGCAGGCCCTCTGCTCTGTGGCCCAAAGTTAAAAACTGTTGTTCTTTTGAGGTCCTCAAGGTGGCGCTCGCGGCCCACAATTGTGCCGTGGCCCATGGGTTAAGAATCTCTGGTTAAAACCACTCTTTTCTGTTTTCTCTGAATAATTTATTGTTGGATAAAAAAACTAGTTTCTGCATAATGGTAGCATATATGACCCTCACAAAGCATCAATGCACCAGAACTCAGAACTCACCAGAACAGATTTGTTGTTTTGGGTGTGGGTCTAATTAGATAACCCTTCATCAGAGCTAAACTACAAAAAAACAAAAATAAAATAAAATCTGAAGCTGTTGAATAGTTTTTGAGTTATAAGCATTTTTGTATGTCCAGACACCCCCTTTTTCAGATGGAGCCCCCTCCTCAAATATGGGGTCTATTGTAAAATCGTTGGCTGGTGCAGTGTAGGTCGGACACATCTACATTCCTGACAAACTTCATTTCATGTTGATCAGTGCAGCCGTTCCTGTGCTATACAAAAACAAAACAGTAAGAAAACAAAATGACCCCCACACGTGACAAACAGAAATAAAATAAAAACACAAATTAAGCGATGCCTCCTCCCCTTAGCAGGCCCCGCACCACACTTTGAGAAGCCTTAGTGAGAACTCTGGAAGTAAGAGACAAGTGATGATCACATGTTTAAGCTCCAGCCTTCAGCTTCTTGTTGACAGCTAGTTGTTGCTAAAAAGCCCAAAACAAAGAAACAAACACAGCACAAACAGACTGAATGACTCCAGCTTTTATATTATTTAATATATGAAATAAAATATGGATTAGATTGTTTTAAGATCCCTCACTTGTTTCCTGACTCCAACTCTTTGAATTTCTGTTACAGATTTGGACTTTCCTTCTGCCCACTTTAACTTTGACCTTTCTTCCTGAATCTAGGCGGCAGTCTTTCCCGCCAAGCCTCAATGCCTTGCCAGCGACAGCACTTTGTATCCAGAACTCCTCCGTTAGGCCCCGCCACCCAGACGGACGACTCGTACATCCTCGGCTATGATCCCACAGGTACACAAACTAACTTTTCTCCTCTGGTTTACTGCTCGTGAGCTTTTCATGATCTCTAAATCAACAACACAGCTAAATAAAAAGGTCAGGACTGGTTGCACTGGCTTGTCCCCGGTGTCCCACAAACACATCCACACTTTGTTTTAGTGTCAGGAAAACAACAACAAAAAAAATCACAAAACAATCCAAAAATACACAACATAAACAATAGCACAAAATGTCTGCAGATAAAAAATAATAAAATTCAGAAAGATTTAAAACAATAATCACAAATAAAGGAAATTTAACAATGAAAAAAATGCAGGATGGTTTGAAAATATGCAGAGACTGTAAATTATTACAACATTCATAGAGAGGTGCAACATGACTATTAAGAGATAAAGTGAAAGACAGACAGCTTGTCCAGACAGGAAAGACACTTTAGGCGGTCTACAAATAGACTGACAAGACCAGTCTCTGCTCTGCCAATCCTGGGAGTACCAAGGACTGGTTCAGGACCCAGTTGGGATTTGTCCTTGAGGGTTGGAGACGTTGGACCTGTTTTATAAGTGGGCAAAGATGCAGACGGGACTAATAAAAATAAAAGTCCCCTCAGAGGACAAATAGGACAGGCAAAGTGTTTGCTTTGTTGGGCTATGGTCCAGAAGCAGACTAGGCTAGGGACTTCAGGCAAAGCTGATTTAACTGAAGGAGCATTCATGACAACTTGACTGGACTGAGGCAGGTTTGGCAGGACTCCCTCTGAGACCGGGACTGGAACAGGCAAAAGCAGGTCAAATGGAGCCCCCTTGTCAAGAACTGTCAGAGGGGACCCCATTAGAGGCTTGACAGAGTGTTTAGGGAAACCTCCTCAGAGACTTGACATGGAGGATCATCTACTGCAGTGGTTCCCAAACTTTCAGCTTTTGACCCACAAAATAACAGTAGCAGAGACCTGTGCCCCCAACTATTTTTGTATGATAAACATCAGGTCAACTAAACATGGACATAGTAACAATATTTTTTATACTACATTTATCCATTTTAAATATAGTAACCTCACTCCTTTGTAACAACTAAGGCAAAAATGTAATTAATTCAGAAAATATTTTCAGGACCCCACCTTGATGTTTCGGGACCCCACTTTGGGTCCCGACCCCAACTTTGGGAAACACTGATCTACTGGATCATCTCAGCTGTAGGAATGTAAAGATGCTGTAACAGGAACTGGACTCAGAGGGATGTCTGGGATTGGAACATGAATTAGAACATGAGCACACACAAGGATAAATGTTTGGACTACTAAAGACCTGAGCAGGACCTCGGTGTGAAGCTGAGCTACTGAAGAACCACAATTTTTTGAAAAGTCAGGCATTCTCACCCCTAATTTGATGAAAAAAGAGATTAAAAAAACAAGTCTTGAACTAAAAACAAACCTAGAGGAAGAGACTTACTGAAACTTAAACACACTCATAAACAAATCAGGATCTGAGAGAACAAAGACTGTATTTATCCTAAAGAAAGATGAGTGACGCACTGCAGAAACCAACAGACTGATGAAACACATGAATCAAGAACAAAGATGATCTTCCAGAACCAGACAAAAAAACAAATTCATTGGGCCTCATACAAGAACATTTTATTAGTTTTATCCTAAATTTCTCTTACTTTTGTTCGTATAAAGGGTTCGTACGAACATGTCACGTCAGATTCAACAAACTCTTCTATCTTCAGGAAAAGTGTGTAAATGAGCAGCGTAAACATGATGACTGCTCCAGTTTTCCTTTGGTCAAATTGTTTTTTACTTATGTTATGTGGAAGAAATGAGGAAACAACTGTTAAATATTTTAATTTATTCAGAAGAAGAGCAGTTAGACACAGCACCACAGCCTGGACCATCTGATGTGTCAGTCCCCTGCCGTCTCCCATGCATGCAAGTGGTGTTCGATGCTATTCTGAAGAATCAAGAAAACATTTTAAAATGTCTCTGAAATATGTCTGACACTTTGGAGAAAATAGCAGACAGTCTTGCAGCTGATGTGCTGAATAAATCTGAACAAAACAACATTTGATTAAAACAATAACCTAATCTATGTCTGAATCACTTCCTGTTGACCTCATTATACATATACTGAGACAAATTAAACTTCAATTAATGCATAATTTAAGTTGGTTTTTAGTTTGAGATCTTCATATTAATATTGTAGTGTTATATAACAGCATTAAAAGCCAATTTAAATTATATTGTTAGTCTACATTATTACATTTAAAATTATAATTCCAATTCAAACAGATTAGCCTATTGTCAAGATAATTATGGAGTGTGATTTATTTTCAACTCAAAATATCTTCAAACTAATGAAATATGAAATAGTTAGTGAAGTCAATCCGTCTAGATAACAGAAGACTGACTGCACGTAAAATATACGACAGGTCTGGAGCACAAGAGAATTTTGTTCGTATCTGAAAAAAATCTTAGAATACGAGAAAATTGGTGAATGCCACAAATTCTCCTAAATCACTCGTACGCACAACTTGAGAATAAATCTATTCCTATGTCCTGTGTGGTTCCTGTTCTGACTTGAGGCCCACTGAGTAGATTCTAACAGAACTGCCACAAAGAGGTTTGGGGTCTATGGCTACGTTCACACTGCAGGTCTTAATGCTCAGTTCCGATTTTTTGAAAAAATCCGATCTTTTTGTGTGAACGTTCACATTACATTTTAAATGTGACCTGCATCAGYCCCCTGTGTGAACGCTACACAGCACTGATGTGACACGCATGCGCAGTAAAAGACGTGACGTCTCATCAGCCGGCTTGTTTGTTTATAGAGCTAGTATGGATGCTACATTTTGCGCATCGAATCTGAAGTTGTTGTTTAATCAGAGCCGATTAAATAATTATCTGACATGCTTCTTTAGTTCAGTGTTTATATCTGAACCTGCCTCTGACTGGGATGCTCCAGTGAAGCTTTTTTTTTTTAAACGAAACTACGAGCTGGAAAAAAGTATCGACTGAGTATCGAGCTTTAGGATCGATACTCTCCGCGACCCATGCTGGACATCATTATTATCATACGTGGAAAATGAAAAGTAAAAAGATGAAGCAACTGGACTTGTGTTTTGGAGCTGTAAACACACGGAGCTACAGATTTAAACAGCGAGACTTGAGGTTAGTGTCTTATCGATCCTTCACCCCCTCCTCACTGATGAAAAAGTCAGATGAATGTGACATGAGCGTTCACACTGCAGTCACTTTGAAAACATCAGATATACAGTATATCCGATTTAAAACCACATACTGAAACGGCCTGGGTCGGATTTGAAAAAATCGGATTTGTCACGTTCAGACTGTCATAAAAAAATCGGATATGAGTCAGATGGGTCAAAAAAATCGGATTTGGGTCGGATTTGCCTGCAGTGTGAACGTAGCCTATAAAACCGGTTATTAGGTGTTGAGTATCTTTAAATGTTCTTAAAACCACTGATTGTTTTTTTTTTTTTTGTGTGTTTCTATCCAGAGGCCTTTGGTCCCATTACCCCCCGAGTCTCCTCCTGTTTACCCTCCTGCTGCTCAGTATTAGGTTCAGGTCTATGTCCAGCTCTGCAGGATTAGTATTTGTCTAAAGTGTGTGTGTTTGTTAGGTGTTCCTCTGGGCAGTCAGCTCTCAGCCCCTGCTACCCCCTGTCAGGATATTTGGGTCCTAAGGAGCTCTCCCACTGGTAAGAGTGTGTGGCCCCAAACACCTGTTAACCCCCCACCCCATCCCCACTCCCTCCCAACTAATCTCCACCCTGGTGTGACCCTTTAGATCACCACCAGTCCTCATCATTCTAAAAAAAAAAAGCAGCTTGTTTCCATTGTGGTGACACGATTTACCAAGAATACAGAAACACGTTGGAATAAATGCACAGAAAGTCTGCGTGTATGGTCGTCAAATGATTTAATTTGAGCAACAACAGAACAGAAGTCAATCAGAGAAGTCTGTCAAGTTGTGGCTGGCTCATCAGCGCAGAACAGCCGATAATATAACATCCTGTGACATGCTTACAACCAATCACAGTTCGCCAACTGTGAACCATCTAACCAATGACAGGGCTGTCAGGCCGGAAACACCTTATCAAAATAAAAGAGGTCATGCATTGCTGGAGTCTTGAAGTCTGGGCCGATAGAATAAAACAGCCGAAACTATTTATCATGAGATATGATTACTGGACAGTGTCAAGGTAGAACAGATATACATAATTAATCCATAACACCATCTTTGTCACTTTATACACCAGAGTTTTGACCTTATTGTTCCAAACTACCAATCCCATGATCCTCTGCTCTCCAAATAAATCCAGCAGCCATAATGTTTATGAACAGTACATCATAGTAAGTAGTACTTACTGTAGAGTCTGAACAATGGAAACCATTAATGTTGAGCTCTGAACACTTTGAAAAATGCAAACTTTTCCACAGAAGTCAAGTCGTGGTCTGTTTTAGAGGTTTAACATTCTTATTATTTTATTATTGTGTAAAGATCAAATCAGTAGGTGATCCACCAGATCAGTTCAAACATTGGTTTAAATTTCAATAGAACTATTCAACATTTGGTGTTTAATACTGTGTTGCATCATCTCTTTGTAAAAGTATTACCTCCCACTATCTGTTAAAGGAGACATATCATGCGAAATGCACTTTTTTGCATTTATAAACTATTTTTTGTGCAATTATAGTGTCTAGGAGTGTAGAAAACTTTAATTTATTCTGTCCAGTTGGTGCAAAGATATTTTTATATTTTTATGGGTCAAATTTTTCAGTTTGTTCAAAATCTGCTGTTGCTTATTTCGTTTCATTGTTTATTTCGTCACACATTTTTCTTCGGAA